ATATATATATATATCACTTTTTAAGAGTGATTTTTTTAAAAATGTTGTATTTTGCTATGCATTTACATTTTTGTGCATAAATTAAACATAAAATATATTTTTTGCTTTTGTTGATTTAGTCTGTAAAACTGAAATGCTTTTATATTTTTTATAGGATTTTAGTTGTTGGATTAAATATTTGGAATAAACACACATTGAATATTGTTAAGAGTGGAAAATATCAAGAACTTTTTTGTAACTATATCTCCCACTCACTAATAATGACACATTCCAGCATTTGTTTTACTGGAAATTACGGTTTTATTATAAATGCATTATCTTCCCACAGCACCTACATAACAGCTCATTTGTAGGTTATTTAAAACAATCATTGTGATGCGTATCTAGTGTTTCCCGTCTGTCCTCTCTGTTTGCACTTATTTCTCACGCATTCTCTCACGTGTGCTCTTTATTTGCCTGTAGACGACCTCATCCGCCCTCAAAGGTGCCATCCAGCTGGGTATCACACACACTGTGGGCAGCCTCAGTCAGAAAGCAGAGAGAGACGTTCTCATGCAGGACTTCTATGTAGTAGAGAGCATCTTCTTCCCCAGGTGTGTACGAAAACATATCTCACCTGCGTATATATTTCCCAGAAATACTCAACCATGTTCTGTAAATATATTTGAATATTTATGGACATTTAAATAGATTTAAATTGGTGTGCTGACTGTTGTTAAGTCTTTGTGTCTATAAAGAGTGAGATGCCAACCATATCAGAGTCTTTGGCCATTCAAACTTTCAAATTGAATAATGGGCAGCCTGCCAGGGTTTATATAAATAAATAACATTTTTAATAAAACAGAAACTCATAACCCTGTCCCTGTTTTTTCCTCCTGCAGTGAAGGAAGTAATCTGACCCCAGCGCATCACCACGGTGACTTCAGGTTTAAGACCTACGCCCCCATCGCCTTCCGATATTTCAGAGAACTCTTTGGCATTCGACCTGACGATTATCTGGTTAGCTGAACCACAAGCACACTCGCATCTTGAGGTCTCATATAATAAAGCAATAAGCTCCAAGAAGCCTTGGTTTACAGTGAATTTATAACAGCTATGGGGCGTTGTTAGGTACGACGTGAAGCTGTGTGCCTAAAACCCCTTAGCTGTTAAAAATTCACTGTAAACCATGGCTTCACGGGGCTTATTGCTTTTATAAAACGGTTATTCCATATACGTAGTTAGGTTTCACAAAATAAAACGGAGCAAATGAAGTGTAATGATATAGATAAAAACAGTATTCTTCCACCAAACAATGTAGTTCCTCAGAAACAGTTGTGGTTGCAACAAAGAATCAGAATCAAGGACCGGAACTATCCGTTTTATAAAGACAGTTTATAAACTGGTGGTTTGAGAATAAACTCATACAATAAGTTTACTGACCCGTTCAAAAATTTATATAAAAGTCGAATAAATCTTTATATAAAGATTACGGTATGAATATACATTTAATAATATTTCAATATGTATTGCTGATATTGTTGAACTCAGAAAATGATGAAGGTTAAGTGGATTAATCATTTTTGTGCACTCTCTCTATATATACACACGTTTAAAAGTCAGTAAGCTATATTTTTTAAAGAAATTAATACTTTTATTCAGCAAGAACACATTAAATTGATCAAAAGTGGCAGTAAAAAAACCGCTACACAAGTTAGCAGCACAACCATTTTCAACTGTGATCATAAGAAATGTTTCTTGAGCATCAAATCAGCATATTGGTATGATTTCTGAAGGATCATGTGACACGCAAGACTAGAGAAAAGTGCAAAAAATGATTTATCCATTTAACATGTGATTTTATTTCTTCATTCTCCTAAGGGACTGGGACACCCCTGATGTGTTTTTGTGGTTTCTTTCTGTCTGCAGTACTCTCTGTGTAATGATCCTTTGATCGAATTGTCCAACCCTGGAGCGAGTGGATCGATATTTTATGTGACAAGCGATGATGAGTTTATTATTAAAACAGTGCAGCACAAAGAGGCCGAGTTCCTGCAGAAGCTACTGCCCGGGTACTTCATGGTGAGTTTTACTCACTCGTGTGCATGTACTTTAGATACTTCTGTCTAGAATGAGTTCTTTTTAATCTCAATCAGAAACATAAAACATTTTAAATCAAATTGTAGCAACCATTGAGGCCCAAATTGTTATTACAGAATTTGTCTTTCTATTCTCTTCTCCTTCTCTCCTCAGAATCTGAATCAGAACAAGAGAACACTGCTCCCGAAGTTTTACGGCTTGTATTGCGTGCAGGCGGGTGGAAAGAACATCCGTATCGTTGTAATGAATAACCTGTTGCCCCGCAGTGTGCCTATGCACCTCAAATACGACCTGAAGGGCTCCACGTGCAAGCGGCGTGCCTCCCCTAAAGAGAGAGAGAAGAGGGTCCCCACACACAAAGATCTGGATTTCATCCAGGATATGCCCGAGGGCATCCAGCTAGAACCAGACAACTACAACGCCCTCTCCAAAACCATCCAGCGGGACTGCCTGGTGAGCATGCATGCTTGTGTTTGAGTGTTATTGCATGCTAGTTTGAAATGCAGAATCCACGATTAGTATGATGTTGATTAGTGCAATGTATAGTGAATATTCACAATATACCATTCAAATTTTTTTGGTCTATAAAGGCTGTGAATATGAATTAAAAACAGTAACTGTTATTTAATTTAATATATTTTAAAATGCAAATTATTCCTATGATGGCTACATTTTCAGCAGCATCATTACTCCAGTCTTCAGTGTCACATGATTCTTCAGAAATCATTCTAATATGCTGATTTGCTCAAGAGACATTTCTTATTACTGTCACAGTTTAAAACTGTTGTACAGCTTAATATTTTTGTGGAAACTAAGGATCCTTTGATGAAAAGAAAGAACAGTATTTATTTGAAATCAAGTCTTTGAAACATTGTACATGTCTTTACTGTGATCAATTTAATGTGTCCTTGCTGAATAAAAGTATTAATTTCTTTAAAAGAAAACAATCTTTCTTACTGTAAACCTTTGAACGGTAGTGTGATTTTGATGATGGCTTAAATCATAAGTTGCAGTGATTTTATTGCACTTTGTTTGACTGTTAAGTATGCGAAAGACTTGCTTAGACCAATTTTGTGATCTCTATTTGTTCTTCATCCTTTTCTAATGTATTAAATAGTTTTATTAGTAACATATAAAAGTTAAATGTTGCATTTTATTACTATGTATAGTGTAATTGGGGCATATAAATGAAACTCTTTTAAACTAGATTTTGTACTATATGTTATTTTTTGAATTCAACATTTTGAATCTATTCGGCTGCAGTAGTTTAAACAGATGCATCGTGTGTCCTTAATTAATTAACCATTTAAACCATTTTGGGGCAAATTTGTACAAATTAATTTTGTCAAATGCAAGGTATTTTTTGCTGATCCGTCTCTGTACTTGACAGCTGCTGCAGAGCTTTAAGATTATGGACTACAGTCTGTTGGCGGGGATCCATAATGTAGATCAGGCATGTCGTGAGCGAGCAGGGGTAGTAGAGGGCGGGGGGTCCGAGGGGGCCGTGACACCAGACCACCGGAGGCCACAGGCTCAGAAAGCTCTCTACAGCACCGCGATGGAGTCCATACAGGGAGAGGCCAAAGGAAAAGGAGCCCTGGAAACAGAAGACCAGTTAGTCAACATCTTATTTTTTTCCACCCACTTATGTTTTTGTTTGATTTTCGATGGAACCATGCAGTTCTTCTGTATACCTATTCTGTCTGCTTTAACTTTCTAACTGTTTAATCCCTTGTATGTTTTCTTCATTTGCCTGCAGTATATGGTAGTCATATTTAACACATCCAATTTCATGTTCTGTCTGTAGATGGGGAGGAATCCCTGCACGCAACGGTAAAGGAGAGAGAACACTGATTTATATTGGGATCATCGACATATTACAGTCATACAGGTGACTACTCGCAGTCAACAGTTGAGTGTGCATGTTTACAGGTTTGTGACCATCATTAATATCTCTCCTTTTGTTCTTCCTTCAGATTTATTAAAAAAATCGAGCATTCCTGGAAGGCCTTGGTTCACGATGGGGTAAAAAGCAAACATTAGTTATTTTGCACTTATTTGCTACCATATGAGATAAATGGCATTTCTCTCATTTACGTTGTAGGACACAGTCTCTGTACATCGGCCTGGATTCTATGCTGAGCGATTCCAGCGTTTCATGTGCAACACAGTTTTTAAGAAAGCACGTAAGTTCATAAAACGTCAGCTTTTCCAGCGAGGGATAGTTCACCCAAAAATTCAAATTCAGTCATCAATTACACACTCTCATGTTGATCCAAAAACATTCGTTCATCTTCCAAACACAACTGAAGATATTTTTGAAATTTGAGAGCTCGAAAGAGAGTCAGAAATTCCACCAAAACTTTCAAGCTTCAAAAGTGATCCATATCAATAATTTCACGCGTCAGTGATCCATATCCACAATTGTTTGATATAATTAATAGATTTTTTTATTCAGACATAAACGTTGATCGATGCACGTTTGAAGAGCACATCAACAACCCAAAATTAATTGTACATGAAATAAAGCGATTGTGTCACTTTATAGGACTTACATTTATGATGTCTTTATGAACATTTTGAACCTTAAAAGTAGGGATGCACCGATACCACTTTTTCCAGTACTCGCCTGATACGATACTTTTATTTTTGGTACTTGCCGATACCGAGTACCGATACCAATATTTTATTGCATTTGTACATTTTTTAAATATTGGGTACAGAAACCAAAAGAGTATGTATAATGTTAGTTGGTTGACTTCATTTATCAAATAGTCAAACCAAAATTTATTCAGACACCTTCAACATTTCTCACATTATCACAGTTTATTTGCTATAGTTTAGAAAATGGTAATAAAATATAACAAGAATTTAGAGTTAAACTGAGTCGGAACAAATTCAGCTTGATAATGTTAGATAAATTTGATAGAAAGGTATGTAGCCTAATGGATTACAATCAACCAAAAAATTAGACAGCTGTTAGTATGACAGTATTTACACAACTATCAATACTTAGACGGGCAACCCTTAGCCTTAATGACAGACTGTAGTCTCCTGGGCATGCTGTCACCCAGCTTCATGCAAACCTCATTAGTAACATATAAAAGTTAAATGTTGCATTTTATTACTATGTATAGTGTAATTGGGGCATATAAATGAAACTCTTTTAAACTAGATTTTGTACTATATGTTATTTTTTGAATTCAACATTTTGAATCTATTCGGCTGCAGTAGTTTAAACAGATGCATCGTGTGTCCTTAATTAATTAATAACCATTTAAACCATTTTGGGGCAAATTTGTACAAATTAATTTTGTCAAATGCAAGGTATTTTTTGCTGATCCGTCTCTGTACTTGACAGCTGCTGCAGAGCTTTAAGATTATGGACTACAGTCTGTTGGCGGGGATCCATAATGTAGATCAGGCATGTCGTGAGCGAGCAGGGGTAGTAGAGGGCGGGGGGTCCGAGGGGGCCGTGACACCAGACCACCGGAGGCCACAGGCTCAGAAAGCTCTCTACAGCACCGCGATGGAGTCCATACAGGGAGAGGCCAAAGGAAAAGGAGCCCTGGAAACAGAAGACCAGTTAGTCAACATCTTATTTTTTTCCACCCACTTATGTTTTTGTTTGATTTTCGATGGAACCATGCAGTTCTTCTGTATACCTATTCTGTCTGCTTTAACTTTCTAACTGTTTAATCCCTTGTATGTTTTCTTCATTTGCCTGCAGTATATGGTAGTCATATTTAACACATCCAATTTCATGTTCTGTCTGTAGATGGGGAGGAATCCCTGCACGCAACGGTAAAGGAGAGAGAACACTGATTTATATTGGGATCATCGACATATTACAGTCATACAGGTGACTACTCGCAGTCAACAGTTGAGTGTGCATGTTTACAGGTTTGTGACCATCATTAATATCTCTCCTTTTGTTCTTCCTTCAGATTTATTAAAAAAATCGAGCATTCCTGGAAGGCCTTGGTTCACGATGGGGTAAAAAGCAAACATTAGTTATTTTGCACTTATTTGCTACCATATGAGATAAATGGCATTTCTCTCATTTACGTTGTAGGACACAGTCTCTGTACATCGGCCTGGATTCTATGCTGAGCGATTCCAGCGTTTCATGTGCAACACAGTTTTTAAGAAAGCACGTAAGTTCATAAAACGTCAGCTTTTCCAGCGAGGGATAGTTCACCCAAAAATTCAAATTCAGTCATCAATTACACACTCTCATGTTGATCCAAAAACATTCGTTCATCTTCCAAACACAACTGAAGATATTTTTGAAATTTGAGAGCTCGAAAGAGAGTCAGAAATTCCACCAAAACTTACAAGCTTCAAAAGTGATCCATATCCATAATTTCACGCATCAGTGATCCATATCCACAATTGTTTGATATAATTAATAGATTTTTTATTCAGACATAAACGTTGATCGATGCACGTTCGAAGAGCACATCAACAATCCAAAATTAATTGTACGTGAAATAAAGCGATTGTGTCACTTTATAGGACTTACATTTATGATGTCTTTATGAACATTTTGAACCTTAAAAGTAGGGATGCACCGATACCACTTTTTCCAGTACTCGCC